TCTATTGAGAATTGAAAATTGACTGTTCAAAAATTTTGAAAATTTGAAGAAGGTTATCGTTGTTCAATTTTTTGAGCTTCAAGTGGCTCTATTCAGCTTCGGGACTTCTGATATATTGGCAACCTCTGAGTACTAACTTCTATGACGATTCTTCCCGAACCCCAAGGCAGCCATTAGATCGTGGTCGATCGGTCCATCGTCGTCGATGCGTTGACGTTTCGAATAACGATGCTCCTGCAAGGTTGAATGGGATATGAGGTTGATGTTCGCTCATGGCGGCATTAGAACTTGTAACTCCCGCTTCTGCCGAAGAAATTGAGGATTTTGATTGAGATATAGTAATAATTAACAGCATGAAATGCGCCTATAGAGATAAAATTCATAAAAACACGAGAGATTAGGACGCTTTCGCAACTTTTTCATAAAAGGGCTCTAGTGCGCATAAATTTTCCAATTACCTAACAAAGACGGAGCCTTCAATACAGTAGCCGTGCAATTCAAAACTGACCTGCTCAATAGGTGGGAGAGGTACTTTTCTTGCACCATTTTGACTTTTAGAGAACAAATCGATCAGTAAACCATTGTTGTACTTCTTTTCTTCTGGAAGATTCAATGTTAACATGAGACAACGAGAACAGAAATGAGGAGATGAAACGTAGGACAAATAGGGAAAGGAACAGGAGCTATCAAGCATTTCTAAATCAAATCGCATCATATTGGACACAAATCAATTTTCCAAAATGCTAACAACAATTACAATTTTTTCCAGTATTCGCACCTGACCCAACACGAACCTTTACCATATTTTGAGCTTATATCTTTTTTCAGAAAATTATAATGCATTATCTACGCCGACTGTGTTCCACATTCGCTTTATCCCGCGCACCCTATCTTCATTTCCCTTTTGAAAAAAGATAAGAAGGTTCGAAGATCAAAATAGTAGTTGTTGAGGCCATTGTCCCGATGTTTGGCTTACTGTACCTCTGCATTTTGCTTTTGTGCTTCAAAAATACTGGGAGAAAATGAAAGTTGACGGAATAGATATTTCTCTTTTGGGAAGTCCCCCTTTGAAGAGTTTTTGCCATCACCTTCGTTGAAATGCATGCCACATGCCAGCAAGTCGAGTGGCTCGCCGGCCTTTACCTCCACTGTCACCGGTTGTGTGACATCTGTATCACGGGGTTCGGAGGTTGCAGGGCACGGCGCTTCTTTCTCAGCTATTGATCCTAAATATTTGGCGTATTGAAATGGCTAACAATAAATATGACTGCAAGTGGAGAGGAGGAAAAGCACCATAGACAAACTGCGCTCACCCAGGTTCTCAGTATCAAAACTGATGGCTTTTAAAACAATCACATCCGCTTCAGTCAGCTTCTTTCTATGCGAAACGTCACTCTTCAGATCAGCTTGGTAGTGCTCCTGAGAGATCACGCAATTACAGGTAACATAGTATAGAACAAAAAATAAAATTTATCATTATTTTTATTCATTTTTCTTTTGTAAGTACATCAAAGTAGGGTTAAGGCTATTAACTTGAGGTATACCTCTTCAGCGAACGCGCTGCACCCTTACAATCTATTTTTATTGCACGTTAAATTTGGGTTGTATAAGGGGCGCAACTGAATAACCCACGACAAGCTCTGTCAGCAGCTTACCATTACTTTATCTTTGCATTCGGTCTTCGTCTATATTCGAGCGGTTTCCAAGCCCATAAAGGTCCCGAGAAGTCAAGTTCTGGTATAGTTTCTCATACCATTAGAAAGAATAAATCTTCTTTATAAATGTTTCAGGTCTTAACCGAGGTTGAAGTGGTTTTACAGATATAGAAATCGTTGGAGCGAAAGTTTCGAAAGACGAAAAAAAGATCTCCAAGAATTACCCTTATTCGAGTCTCTGCAAAAAGAAAGGCAACTTTGTTGTGAGAGGTGATCGAGTGGCGCGTTTTTTCCCGGCTGTCACTGTATATAAAAGCTAATAACACATTAAAAAGCTATTTTCGCGAGCTTA